CATTTACGTCGGTAACGTGGGCAACGAGTTGGCTGATGCCGCTGCTAAGCGGGCAGCAGTGACACCATGTACCCGGTTTTTGCGGATCCCTGCCCGATATTTCTAACCGGCAGTCAAGACCTTCCTCAAAAGCGAACTGGAGCGCTGTTGGGACCAGGTGGGTGGCAAAAAGCTCAGTGCGATAAAAACCGAGTTGGCTTTGTGGTCATCATGCTCTCGCCGTGTGCGGCGGGAAGAGGTACCTTTATGCAGGCTGCGCATTGGGCACATGTATACCACCTATGGTCATCTTCTGCATGGAGCCGACAGACCCCTATGCCATCGGTGTGGTGCCGTTTTCACGGTCCACCATGCTTTTGTATCATGTCCGCGCGTCGTCGAATAACGACGACGTCACTTTGGTCCACAGGCTTCGTCCCCGACGATTAGCGATGTGCCCGGGGACAGCTCCTCCTTTGTTGAGTCCGAACAACTTTTTTCCGTTCTTAGAAAGATAATGACTTCCAGGTCATTTTCACATCACACTAGTTAAGTAAAAGCATAATTGTGGATGCGCAATGACCACCGTAGTCGACGCGCCCGAAAACACCGGCAAACAACAACGGTCCCCATGGTTTCATCTGATCAAAGCTAAGACCAGCCTTGGCTTGAGACGACAAAGGACTAAAGTCGCAGATAGCAATGCTTTATCAGATGAGATAGCAGACTTGGTCATACTTGGTTTGCGAAACCCCTCGACTTGTATGTTAAGCTGCCACAGGCTGCAGTTTAAGCTTGCCTTCTTCATGAAGACTGGCAGACGTTTCCCCCGTCGCCGACCGCGTCATAGGCTGCGTTCAATTTGCGGCCGTGTGTCCGAGGCTCATCGTGAGCTGGCCGCCCCTTCTCAAGTCTATCACGGGCAGGCCGGCCCTCCCGAAGTCCATAATGGGGCGGCCGGCCCTTCTAAAGCCCATCACGGGGCGGCCTGGCTGTTGTGAGACCCATCTCGGGGCAGCAGGGTTCTATTGAGAGTGGTCTCGGAGCAGCACAGCTCCATTGAGATCCGTCTCGGAGCAGCACAGCTTCACTGAGATCCGTCTCGGAGCAGCACAGCTGCATTGAGATCCGTCTCAGAGCAGCACAGCTCCATTGAGATCCGTCTCAGAGCAGCACAGCTCCACTGAGATCCGTCTCGGAGCAGCACAGCTCCATTGAAATCCGTCTCGGAGCGGCTCAGCTCCATTGAAATCCGTCTCGGAGCAGCACAGCTTCACTGAGATCCGTCTCGGAGCAGCACAGCTCCATTGAGATCCGTCTCAGAGCAGCACAGCTCCATTGAGATCCGTCTCAGAGCAGCACAGCTCCACTGAGATCCGTCTCGAAGCAGCACAGCTCCATTGAAATCCGTCTCGGAGCAGCACAGCTCCATTGAGATCCGTCTCGGAGCAGCGCATCTCCATTGAGATCCGTTTCGGAGCAGCACAGCTCCATTGAGATCCGTCTCGGAGCAGCACAGCTCCATTGAGATCCGTCTCGGAGCAGCACATCTCCATTGAGATCCGTCTCGGAGCAGCAGAGTTTCATTGAAATCCGTCCTGGTGCGGCCTCAGCGAGGCTCATCTGAAGGCGGCAGGGACTTTTAAGGTCCATCTCAGGGTCACCGGTTTGCTCGGAGGCCCGTCTCAAGGTGGGTGGGACCCTCGGGGGCCCATCTCTGGGCGGTTGTGTCCTTTGGAGGCTCATCTCAGGGTTGCCTGGTCCCTCGAAGGCCCACCTCAGGGCAGCTGGGTCTCTTCTGGGTCCCTTGGAGACTCATCTCTGGGCGGCTGGGTCCCTACGGGCTCATTCGGAGACCCATCATTGGGCGGCTGGGTTCTTCGGAGACCCATTTCAGGACGGTTAGGTCCCTGCGAGGTCCTTCGGAAGCCCACCTTATGGCGGCTGGGCCCTTTCCGGGTCCCTCAGCGATCCATTTCAAGGCGGCTGGGTCCCTGCTGGGCCCTCGGAGACCGCGGCGGAATTTCCGGCGCAGCGGAACCACGGCTGTGACATGGGGCCGGCCGTAAACAAAAGCTGTTGTGTCTGATGGCGGCCAGGCCGGGCCGGAGGCAGCGGCAGGACGCGCTCGCGAGCCGCCTTCGCCCGGATGAGTTCTGGTGGCGGTTATTGTGCCACTGTAATGCCCAACTGCGAAGACCGTTAAATCCTGAGAGCTGTTTCGTTCCGCCTCCAAAGTTCATGCCGAAGTGGAGACAGCTGTGCAGGTCGTGGCACGGGCTGAATGTTTTTTATTATTACTAAAATGGCTCAGGGAGTTTTCCCCACAGCGAAGGAGGCGAGGTAAATGAATAAAGTTTTTGGTAACTATGCTACCCGCTGCCGGCTTTGCGTGGCCAAATGAATTGCGGCAAGATGTATAGCAAATAATTGCGTCCCTGTGCTTTTGAACATCGCAATTCTGACTTGTCTTAAGAGCAGAGACCTTACCTGTTTTTACTACGAATAAATGCAACGACTCTTCATATTATTTTATTGTTATTGGGTTTTGAGTGCGCCTCAACTGCACACGTCATTTGCACCCTAGCTATTAAATGGCTAATATTGGCAAATCTGAAGGCGTACAAACACCCAGCGAATAACGCTGGTAATATGTTCGCCTATCCTGCGGATACCAGTCAATGCGAGCACAAGTGGCATATATACGTAGCGAATATAATGTTAGATAATATGGCAGACACAGCTAGCAATTATATGTAGATATTTCTACGGACATGTATGTACATATATATATATATATATATATATATATATATATATATATATATATATATATATATATATATCAGTACTCACTCACTCACGCATTCACCCCCTCACACTCATTCATACATTCGCGCTCTCACTCACTCACTCACTTTGTTTTCCTTAATTTAACTATGTTTCATTGATAAGCAAACTTTCTGTTCAATCGTTTGATGGTTCTGATGTGCTTTCTCGTGTCGAGGTGCAGTTCAATATTACTCATATAATGGATTGTACGCTGGGCGTATATTCACGAAAAAGTTACTTTTCGTTTTACCGTTATACATATTCAGTGATTCGACGGAAAAATCACTGCGGCTCATGTAATACGTTTGTTTCGCCTCGTATAGTTTTGCCCAATTAAACAACCTTCATGTCTTATGTAGGCGCTAAGCATTCATGCATGCTCTGTGTATCTTAAATGTTTCCCGAAATTAGGGACCGCCCACTGTTACCTGTCCGAAAAATAGCAGGATAAAACAAGCATATGTTGGTGTGTTGGGTACTGAAGTATGTTGTCGGGTTAGTAGAGCTTATAATATTACCGGTCGTACTTTGTTGCGTTGTATTTCGATTGTTGTGTTCTCAGCGAGATGCTCGCATATCAGTGTTGTTTGGTTGCGCTGCGTCATGTGTCCTTTTGGAGCAACGTGTCTGAGATGCACTGTGAGTCTCCTCGAAAGAGCGGTAGTTTTGATTCCAATGTAGTGTACCTCACGTAGCCCACAGTCTTTGCACAGAGCGTAGTATTGATCATCTACTTTGACGCACTTGAACATGTCGTTTGTCTGGTATGATGCTGTTTTTTATCAAAAGGCTTCTTGATTTTTTCTGTTCTTTTAAGAGACAGTTGAAGGTATGTGCTGATGGGGGAGGGGAAACAGTATCATCTGCCTTCTGTCATCTCAGAAAAGGAGTATAATGGAGCCATTGAGAAATGGTGAGGTACGTCTGACTTACTGTCATCGGAGCACGTTGTACAACGGACACTTAACGGTGGCAAAATGAGCGCAAAATGACCATTGCCGTCGACGCGCCTGAAAACACGACAGCAACAAAAAGGTGGTAAAGCCTGCATTTTAAAGGAGAAGGATATGGTTAAGATCGTACCCGGTCGGTAACTCATGGTGACCATTTGGAATAAATTTATTACGCGCGAATAAAAAAGCTACGCCGACAAGGGAACTGATGAATCAAATACACTTATTACACAACTATAGAGTATCTTCTCCGGAGCTGCAGGCGAACAGTCACCCACATTGTATGAGGACCCGTGTTGTATTATGTGATTTAGATTGCCTAGGTTAGTGACCCGACACGACTTGTGCCTAAACATGCAGTATGTCTCCAAATTTAACGTTGAATAAGGCACTGGAAATACAAAAAAGGAATGCGCGATCCATTCTGCAGCTTTTCTAATAAAAGTCACGTGGCGTGAAAACCTACCCCCTTTCCCCTTCCCACACCCCACCGGTCCAAGGGTGTGATCTGGTCTGGTCAGCTGATGTCCGATCTCTGCCCCTCCCCCTCCCCACACCCCACCGGTCCTAGGATGTGATCTGCTCTGGTCAGCTGATGTCTGATCTCTGCACGCCGACGATCGAGTCACCTGTCTGCGAGACTACTGGTATTTAGAACTGAAGCCGCCTCGTAGCTTCTCAAGCGGTCCGAGACAACCAATATAGTCTAGCGGTGGAAGATGAAGGATTAGTATGGAAAACGGTCTTTAGGTCTAACCGCAAATGTTTATGGTCGACTGTAGGTATAAACATACGGTTTCGTCATCAAGTTGGCAATGCTTTCCAATAGGACGCATTTGTGAACCACCGTCCCAGAGCATGGTGCGCTGGTTCACAAATGGTGTTGTACACGTCTCCGTTGTTTTTCCGCCGTTGTCGCGGGGTGGATGACCTATTCGTGTCCCTGTAGACAGTCGATGACCTACCCATGTCTCTGCAGACAGTTGATGGCCTACCCATGTCCCTGGAGACAGTCCATGACCTACCATTAATTTGCAGACAGTCGATGACCTGGTAATGTCCCTGCAGGCAGGCGATGACCTACCCATGTCCCTGGAGACAGTCCATGACCTACCATTAATTTGCAGACAGTCCATGACCTGGTAATGTCCCTGCAGGGCAGGCGATGACCTACCTGTGTCCCTGGAGACAGTTGATAACCTACCCTTGTCTCTGCAGACAGCCGACGACCTAACCATGTCTCTGGAGTCAGTCGGTGACCTGCCCATGTCTCTGCAGACAGTCCATGACCTATCATTACTTTGCCGACAGTCCATAACGTACCTATGTCCCTGCAGACAGTTGATGACCTATCCATGTCCCTGGAAACAGTCCATGACCTGCCACTACTTTGCAGACAGCCCATGACCTACCCATGTCTCTACAGACAGTTGACGACCTACCTATGCCTCTGCAGACAGTCGATGACCTACCGTGGCGCCATGCTGAATATTCATCGGTACCGACTGCGGGCCTCCTCCTGCCCGGACATCTACCGAAACTCCATGATCACCATCCTGTCTGAGGATGAGGACGAGGTGAGTATTCTGAGGACGAGCCGAAGACTGGGGGAACGAAGGGATGAGGTGAGGACTCTGAAGGCGAAGCGGGAACTTGGGAACGAACTGATGACTTTGGGAGTGAGCTGAATACCTGGGGATAAGGTAAGGACGAGGTACGAAATGAGGACTCTGAGGAAGAGGTGAGGAATCCGGGAACGGCTAAAGACGGGGCTGAGGGAGGAAAGGGGACGGAATGAGGACTCTGAGGAAGAGGTTAGGAATCCGGGAACGGCTAAAGACGGGGCTGAGGGAGGAAAGGGGACGGAATGAGGACTCAGAGGAAAAGTTGAGGACCCGGGGACAAGGTGAGGACTCTGAGGACGAGACTAGCACGAAAGGGATCAGATAACGAATGGTATATCGCGTATGGGCGTACCGAGTGGTCACCACAATGAATTCCTTGAAAACATAGACAATAACTTACGGCATTCCAAGCGTTTTAACATTTAATTAAGTGTGGTCGGAACTTTCATAATTGTCACATCTGCCGCGTCCGTATTCTGGTCGGCTTATGACGATTCAGAAATATTTGCTAATTGTCAGATACGTTAATATGTTTGGGGAACCAATCAGGCAAAAAAAAAACATGTGAGTGCAAGACCGGAGCAGGAAATTGCCTTTATCGTACGTATGTTGATAAGACAGCTCAAGTGACAACTTAGGTGTGACGTTTGATGACGCCACGTGCCGTGTTGTATACATTATCTTTCGTCGGAAATGATTTGTGCACAGGTCACTTAACAATATATATGGCAATTTGAAAGCTGGGCATTTCCATGGAGCTTTTTGCATCGTGTAACTGGGCTGTTATTCATCACAGTAACATTTAGAGCTACACTTTGTGGGTCAGAATCACGAATAGGTGGATATCTGGGCACAAACAAAGTATGCAGCTGTGGTTTGCGATGCCCATGACAGCACTTGTTCTGGTGGGCGAGGTAATAAGGGCCTGCCCCGCCTCCGGTGGGCGAGGTAGCAAGGACCTGCCCCGCCTCCGGTGGGCGAGGTAATAAGGTCCTGCCCCGCCTCCGGTGGGCGAGGTAATAAGGTCCTGCCCCGCCTCCGGTGGGCGAGGTAATAAGGTCCTGCCCCGCCTCCGGTGGGCCACCACCTCCAACGGAACACTAACCAAGAGCCAGCTTTGCGCTTGGATGTTTATGAATGTTGAGATTCAGATTTTACTCTAGCCGCAGTGCAGAGCCTACCTGATTACCAGTTGGAGAAGGGAGGGGGGGGGGGGGGGAGAGGTGCCGAGAACTCCACGACGGCTATTTGCTTTTCTAGGAATGCAGATTATATACCCTTATTACTGATTGCTCCTGATCGGTGAGGAGCGATGAGATATCGCGTAGGAGGGATGCCTGCGGACGAGTCCGGATTTGGCGCCATAGGAATGATTGCCGCGCACGCTCAGCACATGAAAATACGAGTCTAGTGGCGGGCGGATATCTGCGGACGAGTCTGGATTTGGTGCCATAGGAGTGATAGCCGTGCTCAACACATGAAAATATAAGTCCAGTGGCGGACGGACAAACTGATGATGGGTTTCGCTGAAGCGAGTCATGCTATTATATTATAAAATATTGTTATATTATATATGATGTTATAGCATCTCGACACTGTCTGCGAGCAGGTCAACACAACTTCGAGCCTATTCCAACTTGGAATTAAAAAGAGTTCGTTCTACCCACTCTCTGAAGCGATCACTATGCAAATGATTCCGCTGAAAACAGTTGGGGAGATGACCTATGGCATTGCTTTCATAAGCATCCAGATAGGACATGCATTTTGGTAGCGGAACAGTTAGTATGATGGTGTTCCATTTATTGCATTTGAAAGCTGAATGCATCATGTATACGACTGTGCATACGTCGAATTGGTTACGCTTCAAGCAACCCACCGACGGCTGGCTGGTTCAACTCCGACTCCGACTCACTAGAAAATTCCGAGATAATTGATCCCACATTGATTCGACAAGGATCCTGTCATTGCGGAGTCTATTCTGACCCAATCCGGAGCGATACTGATGTATGATGGTTGAGACTGATGTGTGATGGTCGAGACTGACGTATGATGGTTGAGACTGATTTATGCTGGTTGAGACTGATGTATGATGGTGCTAAGTGATTTTTACATCGTGGTCACGCTCAGTTTTTGTTGGCGGACGATGTTCCACCCTCGTTAAATTCCGTGTATTGTTTGCTACGGTGCGCCTCAATAAGTTGTCTTCACAACGCTCCTGCGTTTTGCCAGTTGCATTCATAAGCTAACTGAACGACATCATAACGTAAACAAAGCTATTAGTTACGCGTTGAAGCCGTGGCGTTCAACCATGTTTTCGTTTTGCAACCAATGAGAAAATCGGACTGTCGTGGTGATCCAGAGGTAATACTAAGCATGCATTATATTTTGTATTGCCTCTGGAGGAGAACGGAGTGGGCTGCGCAACACCGGTCACAGTTTCGCTTAGCCTTGCGTACATGCCGGATGGACGTCAGTCATTGTGAATATGTTTTGGCATCGAGGTCAACGCATTGACCCCAGCCGTAGACACGTGCATAACACACAGGGTATTAAAACATGCTCTGCCCAGGCATACCTGCCACCACTGACGTTCTGTGACAAAAGCTCACTGGTCGTTGGCCAGGTCGCTCTGTCTTAGCAACAATCTGGCGGGTCTTTTGTCAGTTTGTTCTAAAGGAGAAAATGACTCGAGCATCAGTCTTGAACATTAGTCCCGGGTCCGATGGCTGACCCTGAACCATTTCATTTCATTAGCATATCACGGCCTTTCATGTTGATTGCAGTGCTCTCTAATGGGCCTCTCCGGTCATCATTAAAGGGAGAACCTCGAGATTGCAGGCCCTGAAGGAGGACAAAACGGCTCGGTCGAGCAGTTTTGCTCAATCACCGCGCGTCAAACCGTCATTGCCCGACTTCACAGGAGGGCCGGCCCGGGATACGAATGTGGTAACGTGTCCGAATGTGATCCATGTATAGGTGCTATGCGGGGACGGGTTTGCTGGGTCAAAGCAACCGATACTCGCTTGACATTGAGTGTTGAGCACAATGTCGCTTGACATTGTGGCTTGAACCCGGCTGGGCGTTGTGGGCGGTCTCCATTGGTGTTCCAGCACTTGGCTGGCGGATACACGAGCGGCCAGGCTGTGTTGCACGGACAACAGTGAGTCACGGATCCTGCGGTGCTGGACAAATTCTACATAATGCATGATCCATATAGATAGACAGTATTAATACCGATGGAACTGTGGAGTTTGGCGCGATGTTTCATGTGCCTCCTTGAAAAAGATATGAGTTGATTACCCCCAAGCAAGATAAGAGAGACTTGTACCGTCTTCCAGAGGGCTGTGCCAGTAAATCTTATGTTTGTTACAATGTCGTTCAGTTTTGACTTTTTACTGATTTGGGTGTCACGCAATGCGAAACGAATTATTATGTTGTTCGTGCTGCGGTCTAGACGCTCCCCGAGCATTTCCGTGAACATTGCTGCGAACTTATGAGTATGCGTGCGTGCGTGCGTGTGTGCGTTCGTATTGATACGTTGTCCATTAGGTTGTCTAGCATATAGCCGATAAAACCCAGCTTTGACCCCTCTGGTGCCAGGATTTCTTGTTCAAAACAGTACGGGGAAAGTTGAAATTATTGGGGGAACGCGTACATTTTCTGGAAATCTGCATGACTCAGACAGTCCAGTAATCTATGGAAATGATCTCAATGCGAAATAATTATTTTGCATTGATGGCTAGCTTTGAAGACGCGTGTCATCTCCTCATTGGACCTTATGGTGCCGCCTGCGGTCTTCAGTGGAGAACAATGACCTTTAGCACTTTTATAAAAGTTTAAGCGGCACAATGTGGTGTTGATCTGGTGATTGTACGTCAGCTTTCTCATCCTAAATATTAGCTACCTTACCAAGGTAACACAGAAAGTTGGATGACAGCGAAGAGCTGCAAATGCTGTAAAATGTGGCCAATTTGTGCACGCTACGATGCTCTATCGTCCGTTCGCGGCCAGTACAGTCGTTTACAGTAAAGTATGATATCATTAGACCAGCGCGATCCCCGGTCCCCGAGTACCGTAGGGTTTTCCAGTGATGGATCGCATGTCCTAATGACTATACATTGCAACTCTGTCCAGGGCCGTGCTTTGTGTGAGTCGCTAGAATAGACAAGTAAGATACTTGAATATACTTATAGAGATGATACATTAAAAGAGATGGAATGCTTAAATAGTATACTTAAGATGAGCTACTTAGAAATGACATGTGTAAGGTAAGGTACTTAAAGATAATATACTTATGATAAGACACTTAATCCGGCATTGACCAGGGGTCAAATCCGCCCCCGCCCCGCCCAATATTCGTGATAATTCAAAAACTTCTTGATATATCGCTGCGAAATTTGCATTGGCTGCCGATAGCTGAGTTCTACATCTTGTGCCGAAATAGCAACTCAGATACCATGATCGGTCAAGCATGGTTAATGTCAGAGTGACACCATGTTTGTCGATTTTGGAGAAAAGTGCATAGCCATAGACAACCTGACACAGAAGCCGAACAAAATAACACATCTTATATAAATGTGGGCTATTAGCCAGTTATAGATATACCTGGTCTGTGTGGTGTGTCAGTATTGCACGTTGAAATATTGGCATGCCAAACACAAAAAAAGATGATAAAAAGTACACCCAACATTATTTGGCCTTCGACTCAACAGCGAAAATCTATCCAACTGCTTATTCACCAACGGGAGCATCCATTTCACCTTGCCCTTAGACGGCTTATAAACAACAGACAGCTCTTGCTTATCTCTCTGACACCCATAACTGCGGCTAAGTTCTCCCACTTCGAGTTTGGATGGCTTAAATGTGACGGCAATAAGTAAACCATGATAGACACATAGACCAAGGTTTCAGCTCTCCTTTGGACGGTACGTGTCCAGTGTGCCGCATACGTC